AGCAACCTGGGCTGGTGGAACATGTCCCTGCTTATGGCAGGGGGTTTGGAACTAAATAGTCTTTGAGGTCCCTTCCAACCCAAACAATTCTGTGATTCCATGAGTGAGGAATGGTGATGATGCTTTGACAATTGGAGCAAAGACCTAGCACTTTTGCTCAGGATTAGCATTAAGCAATGCAAGAGCACTAAACTATTCTTTAAAAAAAACCAAACTTGCCAGTTTTCCCACCTGAGAGTCTGTTACAAGGCTTTCACTGCCCTCCAACACCTGTCCCTCTTCCAGTTTTCTCCATTTCAAAACCCCCTTAGCATCTCCAGCTCCATGATCTCCACTCCCTCCTGCACATCTCTGTCTCCCTTCCCCTGCCCACTTCCATCCTAAGCCACTGCCTCAAACATGAGCACAGGCCAAGTCTTTGCCCAAAACTCTGCTGAGAAGAGAGCAGATGTTTTAGAGAAGATGAAGTCATTACATCAGGGGTAGCTATCCAAGCAAAAGTTCTCTCTTCATGACACAGTATTGTATTCCTCATTCTTAAGGAACCTCAAATTACACCATATGAACCTCAGGGTCAAAGCTGCCTGTGAACACTCTTTGAGGACTTCATACACATAACATGGAAGACCTCATTCCAACAAGCTTCCACAGGAGGTCCCAGAAGCACTTCTGGGCTTCAACTGCTCTCCACAGTCAGAAACAGCCTGTCCCAGTTGAGCAATGTGCAGCACACACCCTGCTTTAGGGTGAAGGGGTATTCTCCTGGAAATAGCACTGTTGTTGCAAGCAGTGCTAATCTAACAGCTTAAATCTTGGCAAAGATCTGGTGCCTTTTAGACTTGGGGGATCTTTGTACAGCCGAAACTCCAGACGTAGGTTTGCCAGCTAAAAAGACAAGACTCTGCAAAGAGACAAGCACAGACAAAGAAAATAACCTACCTAAATTCACAAAACAGACTCATGATGAAAACACAAATAGAAGCTGGGTCTGACTTCCAGGTGTTGCACCAGCAACTGGGAAAATAAAAAATACCAACCTAATTCCAGCCTGGAAAGGACTACTGAAGAATGATCTTTCACTTCACAGACTTTTATGCATTTGCCAGTACCTTGAGCATGCCAAGAGGTTTTAATGGCTCTGCCCAGCCCCACCTGGGGCCTCCACCCACACTTCAGGCCATTTAAGCTCCAGTCTGAGCCCTCAGTTCAGGCTACGAGCTATCCTGTACCTGTCTCTAGCTCTATTATAGCTCTACCTGGCCATAGACCTTAATGATCCTGCAGCTGTTTTCAGTTCATCCTTTGATGAACTCAGCAAAGGTCCAATTGAAACCCCTGGGAGAGCTCTCACTATCTTTGTGGGGCTTCAGTTCAAGCCTCAGCAGTATTTTCATGCCAGATTTTGCCCTTGCCTTTGCATCCCCTTTACTCTGAACCCAGCTAAAGGATTTCCCATTTTCATGAGGGCTGGTGTGTTCCTGGGAAATTCTGTCTCTGCTTCTACTACCTCAGTATGGGGCAAATCACTGAGGCATGTTGGCTGTTAGTCCTGAGACCAGAAGCAGGTGCTCCCAGTCCTGAATACCTCAGGGCATCTTGCTCTGAATGTTACTTGTTTCTCAATGACCTTGTTGTTATTTAGAAGTTTTAGGGTTGGGTAGATAATTTTGCTGCATCTTTCCTGGAATTTGGGCAATCAAAGTCTATATGGATCTGATGTCTTTATTTACTGTAGCAGTTTCTATATTCCATATTCACATCTCCACAGAGAACTGAGATAACAATGCCACTGTTTATTCCTGAGTAGGAAACAGCTGCATGGAGTTGTTGGTGCTGGAGACACTGCATACAGCTCTTCTGCATTCTCTCAGGTTATTGCTTTCCAACAGAAATGGAAAAGCTGACAAAACTTTCCACAGTAGCTGAAAATTCTCTAAAGGCTGTAATTAGAATGAGCCTTTTCCCAAAGTTCCCTGGCGATTTTTAAGGTAGTTCTCCTGGGCAGGAGCCATTATTTGGACTAATAGTCAACAGGCTCACAGCCAGCTCTGCAGCAACCAGCACAGCTCAGTGGAGTCTGGAGTGAGAACAAGTGTTCAGATGCTTGTCTGCCCCCTCACCACCCTGGAACTACTCAAAGGGGTCTATGTGCTGAGGCACAGAGGTTTAGGGATATAGGTATATAAGGCCCTTAGAGGAGCTCAGGCAATGTGGGTGACTCAGGGGTACTGACACTGTCCCTTGGATTGGATGCAGACAAATACACTGAAGCACTTGCAAATCCACAGCAGGTCCCAGTTTCAGTTGAGTTCCTCCTGGAGCAATTAACCTCAGAGAAAATTACAGGCTGGCACACCACCATTGACAAGTTGCCAGGCTTGTGGTGTAGCCAACTGTTCAACAGAGTGTGTGGCATTTACTGCCGGTGGGAAAGGTAAGGTGAGATGAATCCGTGGTTGAAACAACTACATTTTACCTCATGTCTGCAAAATATCTGCAAATCCACATGGACACATTCATAGCTTGGAATATGCTTGTTCTGTAACACTGAAATGCAGGTGGAAAAGGTCTTTTTTCAGCATGTTTAGTGAAGCTGGGGATAATCATGGTAATCACAAGGTGGTGAACCTATGACTGGCCCCTTTCTCCTGGTTATACCAATGTAAAACTGCCATGTCTCCTTCTATCTGGCCAAAGATACCATAAAATCTGCAGGGCAGACTGCTCAAAGTGAAATAATTTTGCTTCCCAGGAAACCCTGCAGATATAACCTGTTCCCCAGGCTCTTCTGGCTCCTGTTAACTATTTCACACAGAGCATGTTGTCTCTTTGCAAATGAGGGAACAAAGCTGATGAGGACAAAAGCTGTATTTTCCTTGCCAGTGGGACAGCAGTAATGATGCGCAAAGCCTTGAATACATGCAAAAAATTTTTTAGCATCATGCTCAAGAGTTTTCCCTTCCTGAATTTCATCTCCCTGCCAGTGCTGGAAGGTGACTGTCACAAAGGCCCAGTGGAGGTTCACTGCTGCAGCACATCTGAGCCTGCTGGATATCTCCAGAGTTCAGAGGCTGTGAAAAGTACAGGAGGAATATCTTCCCCTCAAAGCTAATATGTCTCAGTGATGTGAGGGGAATATCTCAAGGGTCTTAATCACAGAACCATAGAATCACTCAGGTTGGAAAAGACCTCTAAGATCATTGAGTACAATCATTAACCCAACACTGCCTAGCTCACCACTAAACCATGTCCCCAAGTGTCCACATGTTTTTTGAACATTTCCAATTATTTGATTCAAGATGATCAACTAGTCTCACTGTATGTGTTTGGAACTGGGACTGAATGTCTTGTTGCTTCAAAGACTGAGATATCTTAGGAAGGGATGACACAAACAGATAAAAATTCATGT